TAATTAAAAGAATTATTAAATGAAACTATATTAAAATTACTGGGAGATATTTTTGTTAAAAAAAGCAGAAGGAATTACAATTCATTGTAATGTATGTGTGATAAAAACTGGTTGAGAAATTTAAATGATCTAGCTATCTATTCATCTATCTATAATTCAGTACAGAGGGGTACATGGTTTCTGGCACAGACTAGCTGTAATGTTACAGGATAGTAATGAATTCTCTGTTGCAGTAACAAAATTTGTGACTTGAGAATTGTCGTGGACAAATATGTAAATTTACTCTGAAAATTTCTCTTCAACGCAGGTACACATTATAAAATCATCTGATTACTCATGGTTGTTATGATTTAATCTTTCTTCCTCTTTTTCTTTGCTATGTTTGGGGATGTTTGTGGCCTTAAATTGTAGCAGGCACTTCACATTTTGTATCTTAAAATGTTCATATATGGAAAAATATTTTGAAAAATATGAAAAGGGTCATATAATGTTCATGTCATGCTGGGGAGATTATTATAACAGCTATTTCATGATCATTAGTTTTGAAATCAACTTTATCTTTAAAGCAATAAAAGCTCTATAAATATTGTTTCTCCCATTGCAAAAATCTATTGCATGTAAATCTTTACTGATTTTGCCCTTTGTCAAATTTAATTTTAAATCAGTATCACCTAATTTTTTTCTCCAATAGTTTTATTTAAGTTTAAATCCTTGATTTAAATATTATTTGTACCTAAAATGAAATGTGTCTAAAGGGAATGTGGGCTGGAAAAAGTTGATATAAAATATCTAATCATAGGTGTTTTGTTATTACATTTTCACAGAATGTTAATGTTGGCAGTTGACGTGGGTGCAGATAAACTTCATGCATTCCAACTTCACTTTCTACTTAATGAGATAATACATAAATTATTTTTCTCATAAAGCTGGGAGAAATTATGTTTTTAGTCAATCAGTAATTAGATTGCAGCTTTGTATTCAGTCTACCACTCTTAGGCATTAAAAGGCAAGTTGGACGTTTCTTGCCTTGATGAACTTGATCTAATATCACTGAAAAGAAGAGTTATTGAAATTATCAATGGAAAAACAACAAAAAGATGATTTTTCGAGTCTATTTCTTAAATTCCTTAAGCAAACCTAGCAAATGTTTATTCTAAACATATGTTACAATTTTTGGCACATTACTTGTTTAGCTTGGGTAAGGGGTGTTTTTTATTTATAAAACTTTGTAATCAAAGCAACTACATAGTTTCTCTTTAATAATTAAATAGATATGATAAATTATTCAGCACCTAAGCTACCTTGACTTTATAAACACTGATTTTATATGTGGGTTATTCTGTTTCAGAGCAGCAAAATATTTTGTTCATTTAAAATTCTTGTTATCATAATGTTAGTGCCATAAAATGGGAACACTCAACTTTGTGGCAAACATAGTAGAACAAAGGGATAGTTTTGCCAATTCAGAGTTAATACAACTAATTTTAGTAAATTCAACTTCTGATTTTACCAGCTTTTCATAGAAAGTTATTAGCAAAATTTATCCAATGGATTGACTTCTAGATTGTTCAGTTTCTCATATATGTTTATATGTTAAAATTTATGAAGTTATTAGGTTCAAATATTCACAAAAGTAGGTTTATTCCTAAGCATTAAATAACCAGATGTTTATAGAACGGTTGTTCACAGTTTTCACCATTGATAGGAGTTAAGAAATGTTTAGAATCACAAGTAGAAACATTCAAAAACACATACCTAACATGTATTTAGAGAATTCAATTAAACTGGAATATGTCAATATCAGATTTAGCACAGATTGAAAGAGAAATCTTTGTCTTGTGATGAATTAATAGAATAGTGAAAAACTATTGTAGGATAAGTCTTTTAAAAAGCTATTTTGTATTTAGATTTTTGGTATTTAATCAGAATGTTGATATTTGAGAGCATATATTCTCTCATTCAAAGAATAGTAAAATCATTATATAGTCATGAAAATTAAAATTTTAATGTGTGTAATATTAGGGGAAAGTTTTTAAATGTTGCCATAATATGATTTTTAAATTTTTACCAGTTTTTTTTTGTCATTTTATTTAAAAATAAAAACTAAACTAGAGGAAAACCAGTCTGACATAGAATAAAGATTGTAGACCTTTTTCAGAAATTTATTTTTAATTACTAACTCAAACAGTAGTCAAATTAGTTCACTGCCAGTAATGCAGAGCAGCCTTATTATTAGAAGGAATAACAATGGAAGTACTATCTTCATTTTTACTCTGAATGGATGCTCCTAAATATTAAATATATTCTCAGTATCGCTTCATAAAATAAATTAATTTGCAAAACTTATTAGTTACAGCAAATGAAAAATTAAATTCCATATATTCCTGAATCATTATAAGTTATAAATTAATGGGACTGGAATTTATAAAGAAATGTTTTATTTTTTACTTAAAAAAATGTGTATTTGAGCATTGTTCAGAGTTGGCAGAAATCAGGTGGAATGTTTTGTATTGCCTGGAGTAGCATTCAACATTCACTGTGCTGAAAATCATATGGCAGATATCAGTGGCACAAACACATCTATAGGACCTTCCTAGGAAACCTGAGGGAAAGCAGGTAAAGGTGCCTGTGATATATGGGTATCTTCAGATCTATCCTTATTTTATCTTGAAAAAAAATTATTTGCAAGTATCGCTGTTTAACCATTATTGGTAAATAAAATCATTTGCCACCTCACAATTCATAGCCACAAACCAATTACTGAGAAAAATGAGCCTGTATTATTGAGAAAAAAATATAATCTTAGCAGTTTTATTTTAGTTCCAACCACAAAGGTTGAATTTACTTTTCACACTCACTCTTGTGGATCTGTGAAAACAGAGGGTAGTGGCGGAGACTGCAGCTCTGGGTTCAGACTGTCATTGTGGAATGCTTGCATGGGGAACATGTCACAGATTACCTGCAATTGCAATATTTCAAAAACTGGCCAGGTCGAAAGAATCACTGGGGCTGTTTGTCAAATATAGATTCCAGAGTCAAGATACTAAATTGGAATCTCCAGTGCATAGCCCTGGAAATCCGTAGTTTCCTCACACAACCCAGGTGATCAGGCCAGTTGGAGAGACTTGTGTTGATACATTCTCACTGGGTGGAGCAGCCAATCTCAACAGAAGACGTCAGTTACTATGCTAATTCCATTCTTTCACATTTTTACTGAGTACGTAGTATGTAGCTTGTACTCTAGTGGGCACTGAAAGGCAGGGTAAACACAGGGGTCCTACCTTGTTAACAGTCTTGAGTTTGGAGTGCTCTATGTTGCAGTAGAGATGCAACAGATTATAAAGCTGTTGCCTTTGATTACAGGATAGTGGCACTCTCTTAGTTCCAGCTGCTATAACAAAATCCCATAGACTGGGTGGTTTATAAACAACAGAATTTATCAAGGTCCCAGCAGATTCCATGGCTGGTGAGAGCCCGCTTCCTGGTTCATAGAAAGACATCTTCTCACTGTGTCCTCACATGGCATAAGGGGCAAGGGAACCGTCTGGAGTCTTATTCATAAGCTCACTTATCCTGTTCATGAGGGCTCCACCCTCACAACCTGATCCTCTTCCGAAGGCCCCCACTTCTGAGACCATTACACTGGAAATTAAGTTTCAACATAAGAATTTTGAGGGACAGGAAACAAACATTTAGTCTATAACCTGCACCTTGATATATCACGCTACAGCCAGGAACTTGACAGGAACCAGTCTCAGAAAAGAATCGGAATACATAGTATTGCATTTCATTTGTCTCTCTTCTTTATGAAAGTGTTTTTTTGTTTGTTTGAAGGGCACTGTGGTATATTCATGACACAGTTTCCCTTTATTAATAGCTCTCCCTACAACTCTGTGTTTCATCATTTCATTTTATTTTACTGTTGTTTCATCTCTTTTTATAATATACTCAATAGTTTGATTACCAAATTATTGTGTGACCTTTTACAACCTAATTTAAAATAACTGTAAGACTGGGGTTATGGGAGATAATTTTATTGATGTGTTTTATAATTAATTATATATCGACACAGTCCAGTATCATATTTAGGCTAATTGTAAAATGTAATTACTAGAATATCCATGGTAGTTGGCTGCTGCCTAAAGCTTTCGTTTTGAAATACAACTTTTACTTACTGATTACTGCCACCTCCTTTAATTTGTGGCTAAATCAGTCTCTGTACTTTCTGTGGAGAAATTGATTTGGAAGCATTTATTATTTAAGTAAGATAATAAAATCTTTGAAGTCTTTGAAAATGAGATGATTAAAAACAACAGATGACAGTTGAGAAGATGGTTACACACTTCTTTTCATCAGTTAATATGGCTCATGATTTTCCCACTGCTTAACAGGCTTTGACAATTTTAAGGACAGTTTAATCATGAAATGTTTTATTTTCATTGTAATTTGAACATGCTAGGAGGTCTGAGGGTTGCCAGGTTTCCCTTTGGGAATTGAGCCTTTCTCTGCAGTAACTAGTCTGTAACCTACTAGCTTTCATTCTGGGGGGAAAAAAAAGAAAGAAAAAAGAGAAACTATAAAAATACACTAGGTGTTGAGTCAAATATTTAATATCATTATCTTTTGTAAATAATAAACTCATGATTGGAAGTTATTTTCTTAGTGACACTTTTTTTCCTACCATTAGTGGGTTATGAATGATTAATAAATAAAATTAGTAAGAAATTACTATGCATGTGACTTCTTTTTGATGTCTATACTTTTTGTGTCTGATTCTAGAAAATACATATCTTTAAAACTTGTGTGTTGTGTGTAATGCCTACCTCTGACCAGCCATTATCCTCGGAAAGCTAAATTGGGTTCAGCAGGCTGAGCATTCCCATTTAGACTCTTAGGTCAGTTTCGATGTACTGAAGTCATTCACTGTCTGGAGGAGATGGACGAACAGTTTTAATGTGACGACTAAGCCTTTTCATCCTTTACCTCTGCTTGTGTTACAGAGACCCTTGAAACGCTCATCAGACAAGCAGAGAATTACACCAGCATACTTTTCTGCAACACCTACAGGAACATGGCCTTGGAGGCTGCTGCTTCCATCCAGGAGTTCTTCACTGACGTCGGGCTCTATTTATTTGGTGCGGATGTTAATCCTGAAGAATTTGTAAACAGATTCTTTGACAGTCTTTTCCCTCTAGTCTACAATCATCTCATTAACCCTGGGGTGACTGACAGTTCCCTGGAATACTCGGAATGCATCCGGATGGCCCGCCGGGACATCAGTCCGTTCGGTAACATTCCCCAAAGAGTCCTGGGGCAGATGGGACGATCGCTGCTGCCCAGCCGCACGTTTCTGCAGGCGCTGAATCTGGGCATTGAAGTCATCAACACCACAGACCACCTGCGCTTCTCCAAAGAGTGCAGCAGGGCGCTCCTGAGGATGCAGTACTGCCCTCACTGCCAGGGCCTGACGTTCAGTAAGCCATGCATGGGCTACTGCCTCAACGTCGTGAGAGGCTGCTTGGCACACGTGGCAGAGCTTAACCCACACTGGCACACGTACATCCGGTCGTTGGAAGAGCTGTCGGATGCCATGCATGGGACATATGATGTTGAACACGTGCTCCTGAACTTCCACTTGCTCGTTAATGATGCTGTGATGCAGGCTCACCTTGATGGACAGAAAATATTGGAACAGGTAAGCAGCCACTCAGCGGTTACCGATTTCTTAAAAGTCAACAATTAGCTGCACACAGAAAGCGTGCTGATTATAAGCGCATCATTATAGACTTTCAGTTACGGCAGCTTTCCCAGGTAATACTTTGGGAAATAGTCTGAGAATGCGTGGGATGTCATAGTCAGTTCTAAATATATTTTACATCTTACATCAGAATCTTGGTTAGCTAAAATACCAGTTTCTCCTTTAAGTAGAAGTTCGGTGAGGTAGCGAGGGCTCCGTTTTAAAATCAGGAGTGCGTAGACTTGAATCTGCAGTCTGCCAGTAATTCTCAAGTCCCTGAGCCCCTTTGAGCCTCAGTTTCCTTGGTGATAAGAGGAAAATAGTAACACATAAGTTTTGGGGTATTCTTTTTCGGGAAGGTGGGCAATAATGTAGGCATTCTACCTGCTATGGTGTCTTGTACTCCAGAAATGGGTAGTTATTGTTAGTATTTCAAACACATCCAGCTTTAAAATAGAAAATGCCAGTTATATATTCATTAATTGAAGACTTGATATCTTAGGGTTCAAAAGTGTTTCTTCAGAGACTCTCCAGGACCTGGTGCAGTGCTGGTGTGGTGATTTTTCAAAACATGGTCTATACAGCATCCTGGTATTTTATTCCAGGAAGACTTTAAGAAACAAAATGATCAAATCGAAGGACCTAAGGGTTTTCTACTTCTCTCGTCTTCTGTAGAACCACTTAAAAAAATATTCACAGGCCATTCTAGTTATGGTTCTCGTATCCCATACAGTGAAGTAGGACCCGCTGGAGCTGTTTATCCTAAATCTCTTGTCCTGAAATGAAGTTGTATTCCTTAGTGCAGACAGAATACATCTCCCTACCCTAACACTGATCTACTGAATTAATAAACATTCTCATTATTGACTTTGTAAGTCAGTTCCTTTGATTAATTTCCAATAGAAATTGAATATGAAAATCTTTATGCCCAAGCACATCACCTTCCTCCCCTTTTCTTCCGTGCTCTCAGGATCTTTGCAATACCTGTGTGAGCCTATATGGTACTTTTATGCAAGTGAGCAGTGGTGCCCTCTTTAGGTGGATGTCATGGCGTGATGTGTTTTGGCAGGTAGAGTGTGAGCTGGATTTCACTTCTCACTCCCTGATCCATTCAGCTGGTGTCCTGGCCTTTCTGCAGTCTCTTGTCCCTTTATGGAGACCATGCATGCGACCAGAACTTTTGGGAGGGACATAATATACCAACTCAAAATAAGGTTTATAAAAGCTGTCTAAGGGTTCCTGTATTTCATAGTTATGAGGAAGAAACATGTAGGTCTAGGATACAAAATATCAATAGTATGATATTGAGTATCTCCAGAAGGGGAAACAGGCACAACAAATCTGAAACCAAGTCCAGGTTTGAATTATTAATTTGTGGCAAGCCATTTAACCTCTCAGGGCCAGAGTGTTCTAATATACACAAGTGAACAGATTTTTAAGACTCTTTTTATTATGCATGTATTTTGGAGACCTGGAGGGCCTTTTTGTATCCTTAAAATCAATCACATAGAAAATTGCCTTTTTTTTTTTTCTATTTTAAAGTCTCCACTAACATAGATTTGTAATTAGGTAGACATGTTTTCAAATCCTGAGTTCACTGCTTATTAGTCATGTGATCTGGACAAGCGCCTATAACCCTCTGAGTCTGTTTTGTGAAGAAGGGAGTGATGGTTTAAATGGGATAACAGAAGGCTCTGATGTCGGAATGCACTTGGTACCTGGAAGCTTACTTTTACTTTCCCTATTCTGGGGCCAGCCCTGAGCGAACCTCAGTGAAGCAGGTTACTTTAGTATTTTAAAGGATTAGAATCATCATTGTCACTGTGTTTTATAAATAAATTTTAACATTTTTGTCATATGCAACTTCTTGGTGGATTTTCAAAGAACATCCTTTTCTTTTAAGCAAATAGAGCTATTTTGTATAATAAATGGTCCTATAACTATCTTGAGAAACATCAATTATTACTAATAAATTGTAGATTCTTTTCCAAATTAAAAAAATAACTGGGATTCTCTTTAATACTTATGGTGACAGAAGGAGAAACTGACTTTAAATTCCTTGAAAATTGACTCATTAATATTTATTTCTGCCAGCTTCAAAGTGATTTATAAGCTGTTTATCAAGCTTTGATAACCTGTTCACACATCAATGAATTTAACAAATTCAAAATAAATTGCTGGTGAGCCAGCAAATAATGACTTTCTCATATTCCCAAAGCAATCTCTGAGATCTAGTACTTTCAAATCTAGTCCTCAGTAAATACATATATCCACTTTGAGAAATCCATAGGGGTACCTGATGTATCATACGTCTGTTGGATGAATTTCAACTTGAAAAAAAAAAAGCTGGAAACATTTTCAGTTTCCTGGTAAAATCATAAGTATTTCCAATTTGGTTAAACCAGTAAAGAAACAAAATTAATTTATAAGAGAGTATTTTAATTTTGTAATTATTCTGGGGACTCAGACAAAAATCTAATAAAGCATTAACAGAGAGCCATCAAAGTATGGAGATTAGAAAGCACATTCTGCTCTCAGACTGGATTTCCCATCTGTCTCTGCCACTTGGAAGCTTTGAGTTTGGGCACTTGATTATTTAATCTTTCTCTGCTTTGGTTTCCTTTTTGGTGAGGCAGGTCAAGAACAGTACCTACATCATAGAGTTCTAGTGAGAATAAGATGTGTTTTCATGCTTAGATTAGTGTCTTGTCCATGGTAACCATTTAAAGCCTACGGATTATTATTACATTATATTCTTTATAAATACTTCATTGATTTCTCTGGTATTTTAAATGCTTTCAAAGAGAACACCTCTTTCTTAATGTGGTATAGAGTTCAAAAAAATTTTAAAGAGGAATTTGATGTAAGCAAATCATTCTAAAGATTTGCCTCAAACGAGAAGAAAAAGCTGGAATGTTTAGAAAACATTATTCCAAAGTCTATAATGTATTATAATATTAATGAATATTAATTGCTAATTATTTGATAGAAATGATATGATTTCCTTGTTAGGAAATAACTGAAAGGTTTTTTTGGTAGAAAATGAATGAATGATTCCTTACCAAGAAAACTTGATAAAAACTTGATCTTAAAAAAAATTCTATTTACTATCAATTGAATTCAGCATATTATTTATTAATATAATTTAATGCTTTAACTTATTAAAGGAACATAATTCAGAATCTGGGTTAATTTCAGTGTTTGAACATCTTCTAAGTGGAACAAATGCTACCAAGAAACTCAGCTGAACACTGATTCTATAAAATTATAGAAATAAAAAGTTTTTTTCCAGCTTTATTGTGATATACTTGACAAAATAAAATTCCTCCTTAAATATTTGGTAGAATTCAGCAGTGAAACCATCTAGTCCTGGCTTTAACTTTGTTGAGAGCTTTTTTATTACTGATTAAATCTTCTTACTCATTGGTCTGTTCAGATTTCCTGTTTTTTCATGTCTCGGTCTTGGTAGGATCTATGTTCCTAGGAATTGTTTCTCCCAAGTTATTCATTTGTTTGGCTTATAACTGTTTGTAATAGTCTTGTACGATCCTTTGTATTTCTGTAGTATCACTTGTAATAGCTCCTCTCTCATTTTTAATTTTCTTGAGTCTTCTCTTTTTTTAATTAATGGAACCAAAGATGATTCATTTTTTAAAATCTTTCCAAAAACTAGCTCTCAATTTTGTTGGTATTTTCTGGTCTCTATTTCACCCATTTCTGCCCTGATCTTTGTTATTTCCTTCTTTCTGGTAATGTTGAACTTAGTTTGTTCTTTTTTCTAGTTCTTTGAGGTGTAAAGTTGGTTGTTTACTTCAGGTCCTTCTTTTCCCTGAATGGGGGTGTTTATCACTATGTACTTCCCTGCTTTGCTGCATCT